CAGGATGGACATCAGCACGGCCCGCGTCACCCTCGCTAAAGCTCTTCAGGTAAGCTGTCTCTGGCCAGGCTCCCAAGGTGCAGGCCATGGACTTGGAAAGCACAGGCCCATGGGATCACTTGGGTTCTGCTATTTGTCAGCTGTGTGACTTTGCGAAAGGTTCTTGATCTAAGCCTCCGTTTCATTTGTAAAATGCAGGTAAAATGGTAGTGTATAGTGTTATATTACATTAGATAATATATATAAAGCAATTAACACAAAGCCTGGCACATGGTAACCTGCAATTAATATCATTACCTGCGTTAAATGCATATTTTATTAGCTATTATTTACAGAGGTGGCTTAAATATAAATGAATAATTATAATAACTAACACTTATCTTGTATGTGTAAGTTTCTTTTAGCCATTAAGTTTTCACAACAATCCTGGGTAGAAGTGCTCATCTCTAAGACAGCTGAGGTTCTACCAAACATTGAACCAAGATTCTGACTCCAGTTTGCTCTGAAGAGTAATCACTATACAGTAGGATGGCTGCTTCTGAGTACACACATCAAATTTTAGTTCCCACAACTTAGAAGTCTGAAATTTATTCCCTTCTTGCAAGAAAGAGCCTTATTTCACTCACCCTTGCATTTCCATTCATAATTCTATCCGTTCAAGGAGTCCCCCCAAACTTCTGCATCATGCTTTTCAAATCCTTTATCCCAATCCCATCCCACTTTAACTTAAAACACACACACACCAAGTGCTGGTGATTATGTAGATAAACCTTTGTGTGCTGTTAATAGGAATGTAAAATGGTGAAACCATTGTGGAAAACGATATGGCAGTTCCTCAAAAAATAAAAATAGAATTACCATATGATCCAGCAATTCCAGTTCTGGTTATATACCCAAAAAGAAGTGAAAGCAGGATCCCAAAGAGATTTGTATATCCATGTTCATAGCATCATTATGAGCAATGGCTAAAACATGGAGTGTCCCATGTATGCATTGAATGAACAGATAAGCAAACATATAGACAGAATTGAATATTATTCAACCTTAAAAAAGAAAGAAATTCTGAAATATGCTATGCCATGGATGAACCTGGAGGACATTATGCTAAGTCAAATAAGCCAGTCACAAAAAGACAAATACTGTATAATTCCACTTATATGAGATACCTAAGAGTAGTTTCTCCTCCTTTGTTGAGATTTTCTATATTTTTATTCATTGTATGTTTTTCTTAATATCACTAATCATAATTACAATAGTTGTCATGAAGCTATTATTTGCAACACTGAGGTTATCGAAAAATCTGCCCTTTTAAATAGTGATTTTCTTGAGAATTTGTTACATTTTCCCTGTTTTGCATATGTTGAGTAAATTTGGATTTTTGTCCTGCATACTTTGACTATTATGGCAACTCTGGATTGTGTACTATTCCTCTAAAGCATATTAATTATTTTGTTCTAGCAAAAACTAACTTGGAGGGGCTCATTCTACAAACTCCTTCTCTTGTGCAGTAGCTCAAGTCTCAAATTCTTTGATCAGTCCCTGGAGTTTGTTCCATGCATGTGAGGGTCAGGTATGGCTGTAGATTTGGGCTGAGTTATACACAAAATTTTGGTTCCTCCTCTCTGGCACTCTCCTTTCTGGGACACCCACCTCCCTTTCTGGTGACTGAGATTGTCCTGATCCATGCCCTCTGGTTCTCCAGACCAGAAAGATAGTTTCTCTATTTGCGTTCTCCTGCTTCACATAGTGCTGACTCTCAGCCTGGAGCCCCGTTAATGTCCCTTTTGCAATCCAGGATTTCACATCACATTTTGTTATGTCTCCTTAGTCTCTTCCAATCTGTGATAGTTCCTTGGTGTTTCCTTATCTTTCATGACTGACACTTTGGAGCAGTTACTTTTTAGAATGTCTCTCAGTTTGGGTTTTCTGGTGATTAGATCGAAGTTGTGCATTATTTGGAAGAATGCCTCAGAGATGATGCTCCTCAGTGCGTGATCTCAGGGGGTACATGATATCACTGTGTATGACTAGGCTGCGGAGAATATTAACATAGTCATATTAACACAATGTCTGATTATTGATTTAATTTAAAATGGTGACATAGCTACATTGGGAGGGCGGGAAAGAGAGGCATAGGTCACACAAAATGAGCTAAATCTTTAATAGATAATGTCTGTGGAGTTGCTAAGTCAAGGAATAGCAGTATAAGCAATTGGGAATGTGGAAGCAGCTACTAACAGCTTAAGGAGTTGAAATTAGCTAAAAGTAGTCAAAAGGGAAGAGAAGAGAGTGATCATGCAAAGAAAGCATAACTCCCATTTACCAAAGTCTCCATGCCTGAGAAATAGATAAAATGAAGTGTGCATTCTTTCTTCCAGTGAAGCAGACCTTAGGCGACCTCAGCAGCAGATTGAGACAGGCCTGTTGGTATAAAAGGGGCATTCTTTGAGTCCAGAGTGATTGCAACAGATAAGGATGAAGCAGGCTCAGGTCAAGCATTAGGAAGTAACATGTTAAGCTGATACCTGCCTCGCTCCTCCTCCCCGCCCCCCGCAACACATAACTATTTTCTTGAGCTTTTGAGAATGCAAGGGGTCAGAACGTGACCTGTGCCACTGTTTGCTGTATCCCAGATGAGAAGAAAGCTGGCACAGGTAGCATCCAGTTTGCTTGAATGAGGAAATGTGAACATCAGGTGGCGTTAATTAGTTAGGTGTTCACAGGCGATTTCACTGACACAAAAAGGATATTATCACTGTTCCCGTTGCGCTTCAGCAGACAATAGCAAATTCACAGAATGAGCCATCTGAAGTGCCAGTGGTTCTGACCGAACAAATCGAACTCGTAGAACCTCAAAGGCAGGCCAGTTTCTTTGTTAGAATCCAAATAGTACTGTTCCTTTAGAAAGCCCATTGCTGGCTATGGGAGGTACAGGGAGCCAGGAAGGGGCCACCTGGACGGGCCTGAGAGGAGGCAGTTAGGAAGGGGAAGGAGCTTCTGGTGGGGTGAAGTCCTATCCTCTAATGTAATTTGATGAGAAATTATTAGAGAGAAACCACTGAACATAAAACACTGCATGACATTGTAGCTCAATTACAGCAGTGGGAGAGAGAAGGGACGTGCTGGGAGAATGCTTTTCAACGCTCAAAGCACATCAATCTTGGAGCTTTATTTTCATTATGAAATTGCATGTAGCCTTTTCTTTTTACTGTTTATTGAAGTAAATATCCTTACAGGAGAGTGCACATGTCATACATGAACAGCGCTCTGAGTTTTTACTGATTGCTTTTTAAAGATAAAAACAAGAAACCAAAGTGAGAAGTAGAAGACAGGCTGGGAGAGACAGTATTCTGCTCTGTCGCCACTGAGTGACAAGTGGCGTGGTGCTCCTGTGCGCACCTGATGGATCTCCCCGGCTTGTCTCAGCTCCTTGAAGGACCCGGCAGGATTGCCCTAGGCATGACCCCTGTGAGAATGCTCACAGTGACGTTCTGCCAACTTCATGGTTGCACCCAGCAGAACCTGGGAAGGCAGTAAGAGTCTTGAGGTTCCGGGCTGTAAAAGAAATAGGACTATGAGCAGGTAAGGGAATAAATACAGATGCTGCTGTGATTTTTAACCCTAGGAAACTCAGGTTTTGTTTCCATCCCATGACTCATCACTGATGCAGAGAAGCAAAAACAAACAAACAAACAAACACAACAAAAAACCTAAATGAAAGGAGTGGACTTCTCTGACTATAAGATCGTGTCACTCCCCTTCCTAAAACCTTTCATGACAATTTGATACACTAGGAATGAAAACTAGACTCCAAACCATGATCTACTCCCCTCCTTTACTCATCGATCCTCACTCTACTGGCTGCCATCCTGGTCCTTGGCCATGCCTCAGGGCCTCTACACTTGCTGTGTCTGTGGGGTTCAGTCTCTCTGCTGAGTGAGTAGGGCAAATTTCCCTGAAGCCAAGCCACTGGGCATAGATTCTGGGCTTGAGGTTTCTGGGAAATATTGACACCGAGGAGGACACACAGGGCGAGAGTGCCTGAAAGGGGTATTGAGGATGATCATTTGCTGGTGAGTTGTGTTTTGTGACCTCCAACCCATCTGAGAGCAGGCTGTTGGGCCACTGCCCACATGTTTCCTCTAGCGATCTGGCCTTTGAGTAGGATGCACAGTTCCTCTGACAGCTGTCCTCTGGGGTGGTGGCCAGGGTACCCAAGCGTTCTGACACATGATAAAAAAGCTGCAGGCTAGAAAGCCCTCCTAGGAGCTGTGTTCTGTTCTAACAAGCCAAGTTGGCAGTGGTATTCCTTGACCTGCGTCCACTTCTGGGGATATACCCTGAAGGTGAGTCTTGCGATCAGCCTGGGGGCCTCCCACAGCTCACGAGTGCTGTTTGGCATTCATGCTTGGTCCCTGCTAATCTGGAATGTTTCTCTGTAGCAAATATCAGAATGACAAATCTAGAGACATTTGAGTTCCCTAAGGATCATGCCTATCTAACTTTGGTATGTATGACAGGAGCTTTATTCTGCATGATCTCAGGAATGCCAGAGGCATGTCCTTATATCTTAGTGTCCTTACATCTCAATTGACCAAGTGAGCCATTCTTCTGCGTGGGAAAACGCTGCTGCATGTGCAACATCCATTCTTACAGCTGTTTTCATTTCATCCAGGTCACTATGTTTTTCCGTTCTAGCTAGCATCGTGTTCTCCACTGTCATGTAAATATATTCTTTCTTTCTTTTCTTTTTTTCTTTTCTTTTCTTTTCTTTTCTTTTCTTTTCTTTTCTTTTCTTTTCTTTTCTTTCTTCTTTCATTGATTTCAGGGAGAGGAAGGGAGAGAAGAGAGAGATAGATAGATAGAAACATCAATGATCAGAGAGAATCATTAATTGGCTGCCTCATACATGCCCCACACTGGAGATCGATCCCACAACCTGGGCATGTGCCCTGACTGGGAATCGAACCATGATCTCTTGGTTCATAGGTCAACACACAACCATTTAGCCACCCCAGCCAGGCCCTGTTTCTTTTTTGAAAGACTCACTTTTACTTGTCTCTTAGGAAAACAGCCTTAATCATGGGTGGTCCTGCCTTATAATTACCCCCAGGAGCCTTTGTCTAAGTTTCTGATCAACTTTCATTAAAACTCATGATCTGTTCTCCTTTTCTGTGTGGATGGGTGTGTCCAGGGTTGTGTGGATAACAATAATTTCAGTTGATGTGAGAAACTGGTTGTCTTGGAGTGCTCTTCTAAGTAGATAATGCCAATTCTTTAAAAAAAACACACCATGCAACTCAAGTAATTCTTGTTTTATTAGCTCTTTTGGAGTGGGCTCCTGTTCAGTTCAAGGCCACATTATTTTTGATTATCAACTATGGAGTGTAACTTGTCTGGAGGGAAGAACAAGCATGCTTAGCAGAGGCGAGTGTACTGCTCCTTCACCCTGCCCAACTCCTCTCAGGAGCAGCTGGCCTCGTCCCTTTTCTCTTTCCCTGGGCTGTAGTGAGTGCTGTGATGGCCCCAGAAGATATTGTCACTGGAACCTGTGGACGTGACCTGATTTGGAGTGGTTCCTTGCAGATGTAATTAAGGATCTAGAGGTTAGATCATCCTGTATTAAGGGCGGGCTCTAAAACAAAATGTCCGGTGCTCTTAGAAGAGAAAGATGGAGACAGAGACTCACACAAAGATGCAGACATACAGAGAAGGTGATGTGAAGGCAGAGGCAGAGACTGGAGTTAGCAGCTCCACACCAAGGAACATGGAGGATGCTGGCAGCTAGGGGAGGGGCACGGAGTGGATTCTCCCTCAGAGCCTCCAGAAGGAACAAATCCTACCGACACCTTGATTTTGGACTTCTGGCCACCAGAACTGTGAAGGAATACATTAATGGGTTGTGGTAATTCATTTTGGCAGCCCTAGGAAACTAAGGCATAGGGTATATGCAGGGATGTGAGATGTTACTATCTGTAGTGTTTGTTTGGATAATCTGAGTTCCCTCCAAGAGAGAGAATTGGGGACTAGCAGATTATTTGGAACTGGTGTCATGGGTCCAGAATGGCTATTGCAAGGTCTTTGGAAATAAAAAAGCCAAGACAGAGGCTGGAGGCCTCCTTGAGCCCACAACACCAGGGATTTGGCTGAAGGAAGACCAGAAGGGTGTATGCCTCTCCATTGAGACCAGTCTGTGCTGTCTGGGTAGAAAATGAACACTTGCTGGGATAAGATATGTTTGCACGTATATAATTTGTGAGGAAAATGACCTCAGGAAGGGAGAGTGATAGAGATATAGCTGTCTCCTGCACATCCCCTACCAGGGATCAAGTCCACAACCCAGGCATGTGGCCTGACCAGGAATTGAACCTGTAACCTCTTGGTTCATGGGTTAACCCTCAACCACTGAGCCACTCTGGCTGGGTGAGGCTAGATTTTCTTTATATGCATCACCAATATTACATGCTACAGCAGATTGAATAAAAAAGATATCTATGAGAATTCAGATGTTTCTATAATTTACAAATGTGTAAAACAGAATAGTTTCTCTTAGTCTTTCTTTTGGGAAACATAATTATTTTTCAAAAAAATGTGTTATTTATGTTAACATGTAATGGGCTTATTATTGTTATTTTAAAATTAATTAATAGGTAGATATATTTTTACAATTCTCAGTTTTATTTTTTACTATGTTAAATACCTATGGGCCGAACCTACATCAACAAAAGCTCTTGAGAATACTCAATACTTTTTAAGAGAATAAAGGGACCCTGAGACCAATATGTTTAATCATGTACACATCCAATATTATTCACATGATAAAGTCTTTAATTTCAAAGTCCTCAGTAGAAGGGAAGCACAAACTATTTGTATATAAGATACACAATGATTGAGATATTTAAATTTTTAAGTATTACTCTTGGTGGTTAATTATTCTTTTTTCCTATAAAATAGGGTTAACATCAATTTAATGGGGTTGTTGCTGTATGTATGTATGCATGAATGTATGTAAATATATATAAAAAGATATATGTAGAATGCATGGCATGATCCACCTGTCTCTCAATGTTCTTTATACTTTTCAAGTAGACTATAAATATGCATAAGTATGTTGACTTAATCTGGGTTATATTCCTCTCCGGTGGCTTTGTGAGCACATCCCTGGGTGGTATGTATAGTCCTACAGCATTGCCCCTCACCATCAAATAAAAATGCCATGTAAAGAATATTTTAGATATCTTTCTTCATGCCCCATAAAGAGAACAGATCCAAGTGGTAACCCCTAAGTAATGATTGCCGTTGCTTCCCTAAACAGAAAAAGCGATGCAGCCTGCTACAAGATGTTCTTTGCGGAGAGCTGGAAAACTGCTGTTGTCCTAAGGCTGTCTCAGAACCTTAGTGAACCTGAGTGACAAGTTCCTAAGAGGAGAGATTACAGAATTCTTTTGGTGCATTGAAAAATCCTTACAACCTTTTCTTTTTCCCCCTCCACTTGACAAACTGTCCCTCAAAACTGTTGCGATTACTACTATTTTCTGTTTTTCTTTTCTCAGATTTACCTACAACCCCTCTCAGAAATCCTTGGCTATGATGTCTGAGATTTCGGAACAGAATGGCTCATGAATGTGACTAGAAACCAGATAATGAAATTTGTGTTTGGCTTAACTACCAGGGAAAGGGCATGGAGAAAAAAGCCACATGTAGTCCTTCTAGTATTTTCCTTTGATCAAATGTCATGGTTCTGAATACTAGAAATCCTGGGTTAGTTGGAAAGCTGACTAAACAGCACAGAGTTACTATGTTATTCTGAAGAAAACAAACACGTCTCTGTTGTCTTTGTAGTTTCTTTTTACAGACGCGTTGAAAAAGTTTTACATTTTAATGATATGGATTTCATTCCCATCTGCGGCATCTGATGGACAGCTTATGAACATGAACTGGAAGAAGATTAATTCTTTAATGTTGGGAATGGCTGGAGAATGTTTTGTTACCAGGTAGGAAACTTTTCCAGTATCCAGTCATGGGATAGAAGCCTGCCTATGGCCTCCTGGAGAGAAATTAGATAATAGGATTGTCCAGTGAATACAGAGGTTAGGTAACTTGGACCTGAAGATACAATCCACAAGAACCAGGGTGCTCTCTGAGGTCTGCCTTTCAACCTTTTTTAAAAAATATATATATATATTTTTTATTGATTTCAGAGAGGAAAGGAGAGGGAAAGAGAGATAGAAACATCAATGATGAGAGAATCATCGATTGGCTGCCTCCTGCAATGGGAACGAGCCTGCAACCTGCGCATGCGCCCTGACCAGTAATTGAACTGTGACCTTCTGGTTTTTAGGTCAATGCTCAACCACTTAGCCACACTGGCTGGGCTGCCTTTGAACCTTTGGATGGTTATTATACCCAGTCAGTCTCCAAGGAACTCATCAGATCAATTAACTATTGCTGCATTGTTATAGTTGTAACAAAACTACATTCTCATGTATGGATATAATATGACATTGAGAAAGTACCTATTTTTCCCAAGTTACTAAGAATTTAAATATTTTAAATAGGAAATAACCATTGTATTTATTTTATCACAAGTTTTTGCAGCCTCTGTTGAGATGACATCATGTGTTTTTCCTCCTTTCATCTATTAATACAGAGAATTATGTGAACAGATTTCCTGTTACCAAATCATCCTTGCATTTCTGGAATAAACCCAACTTGGCCACGGTATATTGTTTGGTTAATATAATGCTGGATTCAATTTGCTAATATTTTATTTATCACTTTTACATCAGTATTCATATGAGAAATAAGATTATAGCTTTCCTTTCTGGTGCTCCCTGGTTTTAGTATTAGTGTCTTTGTAAAAAGAATTGGGGTGCTTTTCTACTCTCCCTGAGATTGTTAAATAGTGTCAGAATTTTCTTTCCTTGGAGATTTAAACAAATTCAGTTTTTATGGTTAACACAATCTACTCACCTTAAAAAACCAATTATTTTTCATATGACTTTCCAGTTTTCACCCATATGCTTGCATAATTGTTAAACAGATGTAGTTATACCATTTATCATGTATAAATTACATTCTGTTTTTTTCCCTTTAAACTTATTTCAAATGCTTTTCTACATGCTGCAGTCTTAATGATAATTTCAATGAATAAATACTTTTCCATTGTGTGGATGGACCATCACTTAATAATTTCATATCCTTGCATAACTAGGATGTTTCTTGTTGCTATTTCTGAAAAATAATGCTTCCAAAAGGCAGTTTGCATAAGCTGTATTCTCATTTTAGATATTTTTGCTTTAAGATAAATTCACAGTCATGGGAGGGTAGAAACTTTTCTATGACTTCTTACACATGTGGGCAAATTATTTTCCAAAAGGTTTGTAACACTATACTAGGTCTTCAGAATTTGGGGACATTATTTGCACAACATTTTTGTCAGTATTGGGTATTATATATATTTCCTGTCAGTAGGTAGGAAATGGCACCATAAACATCTAGTCTGGAGTCTCAGGGGTGGGGCAAGTAGGAGAGAACTTCCCTCTAATGCTGATCACCTTTCCTGATTCCGGAGCTGATTTAGTTGGTGTTGTTTCTCAGGTGTGATGAGCGTTAGTCCTGAGGTCTATCTGGGACCCCGGCCCCAGCTCTTGGATGCATTGTACTAACTGAAGTCAAAGCTCAGAACTCAGACTTTGTTTTTATTTGTTTTGCCTTTTAATGAACATTGACTGAGCTTTTACTATATGCCAAACACTAAGTCTTAACTGCATTTGCTTAGTTACCAAGCAAGATGCAATGGTTGGGAACATGAGGACTTACTTCTCCAGGCAATGGAGTAGGAGCCTGCATCTGATGGCCTCCTTTGAAAGACAAAACACCTCCCATCTCTGCTTCCCCTCAAACCCTCTAATTCGCTGACTATAAACACTAGTCACTATCTTCTGAGAAGGCTGGAAGCTGGCTTAAGGAAGGGAGAAAAAACCTTGGCTCCTTGACACTGAACTTGTAGTCCTTACCTAGTAAATCTAGAAAAAACAAAAGCACTGTTTGCCACTTCAGCAGAAGAGACCTCTTATTTTTGCGAAATCAAAGTACTTTGTAACCATGACGAATTTCCAGTGTCAGTAAACTGTCCCCAGGGAGAGGTTCTGATTCTAAATCCTCACGTAGGATAAGCAGGCTCGCCTTTGCTCGTGCTGGAATTGTCACACAGGTGGCGTCTCCAGGAGGGAGCCTGGTCTCTCCCCACCTGTCAGGGGTGTTGAGAAGGATTAACTGGAGCACAGAAGCCAGTTGACACAGTTTCCATGGTTTTAAAATTTAGTTTAAGTGAGCCCAGGCAATTCAGAAAAAATAAAATACTCCTGTTTTCATGGTGATAAAAGGAAACAAATGGTAGAGTCTAGAAACCAGACTTCTGTTCTTATGTGAGTAAAGAGAATGAGGGGCAGCGAGAACAGGTGTGTTCTTCGATTAAAATTCATCTTGAGTAATATGCTAAAACCTGGTGCTTCCCTGAATTTGAAGCTCATCAGACTTGCTATTTTTTGCTTTTTCTATAAATGAGGTATCAATCATTATTTAATAAACATTTATTGAACATGTAGAATATTCTTAGTTGTGTTTTTGATCCTGGGGATACTAATTCAAATAAAATTTTGTCCCTGTCTTCAAGTTAATTGTATCGTATGAAGAGAAAAAAAGCACATGGACATGAAAATGATAGCTGTTAGGTCAAGGTGTTGTGGGAAACCTGAGGAGATAAATACTTGGTGCAGATGAGCTGAGAACTAAGCTCTGAGGCTTTTTATTTGATTTATTGCCCCTCTTCTCTACTCTATATCTTTCCTGGGATAACTTGTTCAACCCCAAGAGTTCCATCACCCCTGTGTGCAAATGACTCAAGTGTCTTCTTTGTTGCCTTGACCATTCTCTGGACTGCAGACCCACGTGTCCACTTGTGAGTTGATGTCTCTACTCAAACACCTGGCAGATATTTCAAAGTTAACACAAAATGAACTCACTTGCCTCTAAACCTATTTCCTCAGGTTTTCCTGCTGGTCAATAGTGGTACCATCTACTGAGTCTGCAAAACCAGATACTTGGGCCATCTGAGATGCTTCCCCTCCTTCATCCTTTATAACTGCATCCTGTTGCATGAACCCCTCCAAAATAGATTTTTATTGCTCTATCTTTTCTTTTATCCACACTTCCATTGTCTTAGTCCACGTTCTTGGGATTTTCCCCCTCATTACCTCAATGGCCTCATGTTGGTAGGAGTCTCCTTTCTCCAATTTCACCCTCCCTCCCCTACTGCACACACACTTTAGTTATCTGAGTAGAAGGAGCTATCTGGTCATATCACTCTTCTGAATAAAATCCATCTCCTGTCACTCATCCCTATGCCCAAATGACTTTCCCTTCATTCCCTGACCCTTCTGAGTTCCCTCTCACTTATGAGTGTTCTCATGCTCTTTCTCTACCAACAATGAGTATCCTTTTCCTTTCTCTACATGTTTAGTCTCAAGTCGTTCACGTGCTCAGAAGACAACTCATTCCAGGAAGCCTTCCCTTCCTCCTCCAGGTTGGGTTAACTGTCTCTTCTAATTTAGAGCCTCTATACATATACCTGCCATAGCCCTTATCACTGTTGAGATTATTGATTTATTTTTCAGTCTTTCCTAATGGCAAGAACTATTAATTTGTTTTTCATCTCTAACCCAATACCTAAAACGGTGCTCAATAAGTAACTGCAGCATAAATGTTGTTGAAGAGGCAACGGAAACCTCCAAATGAAAAAAAGGGGTCAAGTATTTAGGGCCACGTAAATGACATTCAAATAGATCTTACAGACCTGATAGCAGAACCATCGCTAGTAAACCCTTGGAAGCATGGAGGACAACAAGAGAGCCAAGAGATCAGCAAATGCTGCTTAAATAAAAAGCAAAACAAAACAAAAGGTGAATTATTGAAATTAGACAGGTAAGATTGATAGGTGTACATGCATTTAAGGAGGCAATACTTAAGAGCGATCAACATAAACTCACAAAAATGTCATGCCAAACTAAAAAAATTACTTTGAGAGATTTATGAAGCCACTAGATAAGGAGGATACAGAGCATATTTATTTTAGAAAAGTGCCTCAAATATCTTATTTTACTTTTTCTTTTCATGATAGAGGAGAGACTCAACATGGTGACTGTCATTTGTGGCCCCATCAGCTTCTTCCCTCTTCCCCTAAAACTGTTTGGGAAGATGGGCCCATCGGCCAGTAATTTGTAACAAGAATTGAATGAGAGAGAAAATACTTTGCTTTGGGTTCAAAGAAGGTTCCATATTTGTGCCCATTTGCCTATCCCATTTGTCCCTCCTCGACATTTTAAGTCATCATAAGGTCCTTTGTGGGAACTTTGGGTAGGATGAAGGAAAAATTATACAAACTTCTTTCTCCCTCTCTTCTCTGTATTGAAAACATTGTAAAAGTTTCAGCAAAGAAATGCAGTACATAGGTAAAAAGAGCTATAATGAAAAATGGCATTTTCTTGCTCTTTCCCACCTCACTCCAAATTCAGCTCTCCTGCAACAACCATTTTTAATACTTTTTAGCAGTTTCTTTTGTAATTTACTTCTTCTTTTCCAAGTAATATGCCTCTACTGCTATTTTTAGATATATAAATTTCAGCCACTCTGTATTGACTTTGAGCTATGGAAGATGAGGGGACAGTATAAGCCAGGCATGATAGTAAAATAGAGCACACATATCGTCAGCTCTCTTCCCCTTTCCAGGTCCTTCAAATGCAGTTACCCTGTACCCTCCTGCCCCAGTTTGAGCCTTTATACAGCTGTTATTTCTGGGCTTCCCTCCCACACTCTCATGTTGGAGCCCTAATTTCTGCTTTCAATATTTTCTTCTTCCATTATTTACTTCCTTGTTTACATTCTTTGGTAGCTTCCTGAGATCATGCATGTCTGAACATTTATTTTTTTCTCT